TAAAGTTAAGGGTACTCAGGGAAACATGAAAATATTTAGCTACTACAAAAAAATATATATGCATTGAATAATAAAATTGATACCAAGTAAAAGAATTAATGTGTAGTATATATATGTGATCAAAATATCTTTACTGACCTACACATACATATGAAAGTGTATGTATTTACTTAAAATATAGGCATATATGTATTTATTCAAATTCAAGATCCTAGACATTCATGAACTTAGACATAATTAGAAATTATATGTATTTCTATGCTAAACAAGTCTACATACCCACAAATACAAACATATGTAGTATTGTTTTTATATACTAACACAAGCACTATAAATATGCACATAAAATGAGAAAAATATATAGACACACATATTTACATGTATGCACATAATATATTAATATGTAAGTCCAGAAACCAATATTCCTGGATTGTCAACCCAACTGTTTGTACGAGTATATGTACAATAATGTAAATGCTGGATTACTATGGTATCACAGTATACCAGTTAATGATCTGGCTGCAACTACAAAACAAAGCCAAATAAAAATAGTTGGAAAGCTTGAACACATATTTTGCCAGTATCTCTGCAAAGACATTTAAATAGGAAAAGTTTTTAATTTCATAATAAACATAGCAGGGAAGTAGACCTATTTTTGTGCTCTATTTTTAGAAACTGTGTACTTGACCAAGTAAGACTCCAACCTTTACACAGTCAAAGTAGGCTTATAAGAGCCGAATGCAATTGTTTCTACATAGATACAGTTTATGGCTGCTTCCCACCAAAAAAATATTTGTGAGTAATTGAATTGACACCGTAGAAAACCAAGCCCTTGCATCCTGAATCTACAGTGTAGGAAAGACAGAAGTGCATGGATTCTGCCACTAAAACTAGATGAAAACCACACAAACAAGAAGCTCCCTTTTGTTCCTGGAATTGCTGAGTGTCATTCAGAAGCCTGCCCTGCCTTCCTAAACATGCCCAGTACACGTCAGCACTAATAAAACTCAAACAAAAACATGGAGAACCACAGCTGACCTACAGCAGTTCGATTCAACAAAAGATCTTTCTTGACTAAGCAGTACGAAAATTGTGCCAAAATTACTTTTTGGCAAGAATATACGTGTCAGTGGCCACATTCTCAGTAAATATGAAGCTGAGTTAAAATATTGGTTTCAGTGGAGTTATGCTTGCTTTACACCACTTAAAAATATGACTTACCATAGATCTTCCTCTTTTGTTCTACCTCTTCATGGCTCTTTGCTAATATTAAATGGGAAATACCTTTTCATCCAGACCTTGTAACTTCTCCCTTAAATATTCTCTGCTGTTGAAAATAGCCCTTATATTCTTATTTTTCTTATAATCTTCTTGAGTATAAACATATCTATAGAACAATGGTGATTTCTATGAATTTTCTCTGAAAAAATGAATGAACTTTTCAATTGTCTTTTCTTTTCCACTGCAACCAAAAAAAGCAGAAAGAAACAGTATCAAAAGGAATTAGCTATAAATATTTTCACTGAGATAATATGGTGAGGTAAGCATAAGCATTTGCAGTTTCTATTTTTAAAGCTGTCACTGTTTATACAGCAAATAATAATTAATACCACAATTTTGACCGCCACCTCGTAAATTCAGTGTATCACCAGGATATTTCCTGTTTTCTGTACTGGCCATGGTTTATCGCTATTCCATTTTTAATATGCATCTGTCTATGATCTACTTAAAAAAAAACACCCAATAACACATCTATATACATTAAACCAACTATAAGCATGAAGGTATGTGTTTGTGTAGCTAAGCAAGAAAAGATCACTCCTGGAAGAACACGAGTGCCTTCAACTCCCTCTGCCCCAGCACAAATTGAGAAAGAAAAGCATCTCTCAGTGTTGGAGCAGTAGCTGCCAAAGGAAAACACTTTCTCATGTTCAGATGTCCACAACTGTTATTACATTGACTGTTAAAGTGTAGACGCATCTGTTGGACAAGTGTACAGAACTCCTAATTAAAGGGGTTCATTTTGCCACAAAAGGAGCTAGATTGTAACAGCATCTTTTGTCCTATGCTTAATGAAGGGTGAGATATTGTTTAAATAATTAGTAACAGCGCTGGAAGAGAATGCAAGTAATTAGCATAGCTTGACACCCAGAGCAACACCAGTTGCTGTTGTTAGCATCAACGATGTGTCGATTTAAAAGAAAAATCACAAGAAAGAGGTGTCACTTGAAGCAGTTTGCTTTACTTTTTTAAAGATACAATTAACCATCCATTTCTGAATGAATCCACTATACTATTGGCTACCGCATGCTCCTTCTTTTAGAATTGTTTTTAAAGATTTGGATAGCCTATCTATCAAACTCCATGTATTTTAAAACCCCGCAGCAGCAATATAGCAAGCAACAACCTATTTTTTCAGGTGGGGATTTTCTGATCCACTTGAACATTAAATTTGTCAATGGCGCAGCACATTATCTGTAAATTAACAAAGACCATCTGCAAGCTCATACCTCAGATTTACATTAGCAGCACGACCAGTGACTCAAGGGGTTGTATCACCACTTATGAAGGAGGAGACGTGAACGTGAAAACAGACCTGAAATTCTTGCCTCTCAGCTACCAAACCCTGGTGTGAACAGGTATTGTTCCTTCACTCCCGAGGGATAGATGCCAATCTATGGAACTTAAAATCTCATTGATATATAAAAGAGTATAATTATCTGAGCTTGAAGAGGCAATGAGGAAAAGAAAGACATAGTTTTCAGGTTACCTTCTTATGAACAGAGAATGGTTGCTGGATATGGATGGAAACCACCTAGCATGTTGCTCCTGGGCTCAAAGCATAAACGTGTCATAACTGCTGCCATAATTGGTATGACTGATGTCATCGCTGGCAGTAGCAAAGTGAAATAGGCTTCCTCATAACAAAGGAGATAGGAACCCCATTTCATGTAGTTTAATATTTATCTGTATAAAGTAGTTTTAGATAGTTTGGGTACAAAGAAAGCCCACACCTCAAAAAATAAAATGTGCAGATATTATAAACAATGATAGGAGTTGCCACTAGAAAGAAAGTTATTTGACACAGACCTACGCTAACCATTAAATTAGTACTTGAATTACTCTTCGAGATGGCTGGTGGAAAGTACTTTATTAGGCTTCTGCCAAGGTAGCTAAATTGTGTAACATCTAACATCAATGCTGCTTGCCTGAGATACCCATTCAGAGTTTGCTTAGGCATCTTGGCACAGCCAAGCCTTAGACCATGCAAAAATACCATCATTTATTTTTTCTATCTGCAATACAAAGACAAAGATGTCAGGAGAAGATAAATGCCTTTTAAAGTCTTCTTTCAAGACTCGCCATATCTAAGTACATCAACACTAAGAAATGTTTAATATTTATTGACATCCTCAAAAATACACTTATCCAGTATTTAAGCCTGAGAGTATTTCATGTTAAGTAGTGCATTCCTACTTATGTAAAGTTGATAAACAATACAACTGCTCAGCCACTGGTAGCCTCCTAAAATGGTAGCACCTGTTAAGGATATAAGCCTGTTGGATTATTGAAAAGCACTGTAAGTCCACGCACCTTCTATTCACTTTTATAGTTCATGTGCCATTTTGTCAATGGGTAGATTCTTACATATTAAAATAACAAACCAGCTTAGGAAAAAAAAAGAAAGAAAGCAAAAATAACAACTCCTCCTTAGTAAATAAAAGTGTCTTTAAGAGATGAAAGGAAGTTATGAGCTCCAGGTAAAGAATTATCTTTCATTATGTTAATATAAACACAGAATATGACCTGCTTGTTTGCACATGCATAGGGGCACAAAACCCACAAAGCGTGTACATGCAGATTTCACCTGCACTCACATTAAGTTATCATAAACACATGTGCAGCCACATTTTTTTGGCTGAAGGTCTTTAAGAAAACCCTCTGAGATAGTTAAACCTGTTAATTTAGTTTCTTTTTCCAGCTCTGAAATTCCATGTGGGAAGGCTGACAGATCAGCTTTTCCCTCCAGATTTCTTGGCTGCAGTCCATCTTTAAAAAATTCCCCCCCAGCTACGCAGAGGCACATGCAGACTGTCCGGAGGGAGTGGGTGGAGGAAAGCATGGGGTGCTTAATTCCTGCCTTTGCTTTGCAGCAGCACCTAAACTGGCATGAGAGGAATGTACATCCAGGTGGGTGGGAGGCCACTCCATGGTCTTGCTGTTCAGTGGGATCTGTGTCTCCCCCAGCAGCCCAGAGAGCTACCAGAGCCCCCTGCGATCTGGCTGCCCACTGCCACCCCATCCAGGGCACCCTGTGCAGAGCCAGGGGGCTGGCAGAACCACACAGCTACCTGGCAGGGGATGTGCCAGGAACTCCTCGAACCATGGGAATGCCACAGGAAGCTTGGAAACAATTTTGGTTTTGTTTCCAGGGCTGCGCCGCCTGCGAATGCGAGTGAGAGGCAACATGGGAAGAGCAGAGCCGGCATTCGGTTTCCCTGGCTGGGCAGGCAGCTGGCAGCCCTGAAGCCAGCACAGATAAATGCATCTCCTGTTAGCAGCAACGCGAAGGACTTTTCACAATGAAAGCAACCAAATGAAAAATAATCAACAGCAAAGCATATGCAATGAATGCCTGACATTTCAGTCAGCCTCTGTGTATGTGCAGTCAGCACTAAGCCTTGCCAGCTGCCACAAATAAAGCCGTAGGTAGATAAGAAAATTCACCTAAGCAGTAGCATATGCTTCATATTCTTTACAATAGCTATAGAAAAATCAAAACAAAACTGAGGAATCTTTCTTTAAGCAAAAACTGACACCTTTTCAATGGTGATGAGCAAATGGACATATAAATCTGTAAGTGTGTCTTGTCCGACTAGAGACCATGCACCTATATTTCCCAACTCCTGCCCAAATGAGGAATTTAGCATGCAACCAAAGGGCACTTTACTTCCCAACCACACGCTGCTTGGCCAGAAAGGCTGATAGGTAGCACTAACCTTTAGCTTGTCATAGCGCTCGCTTAAAGCTGCCACCTGATGTTCACGGTGACGCCCGACCAGTTTACACAAGGCACAGATTAACTGGTCGTCGGTCACGCAGTACATGTTAACTTTCTCATCCTCATGCTCCAAGCACATTAATCCCCTGATGTGAGAGTCCGGGATGGGCTCAATGAGCCGGTGGCCGGTGAACGGCTTCTTGTTGGGGTGAGTGGCTTTCAGGCACTCCTCGCAGTAGGACACCTCACAGGTAACACAGGTTTTCACCGCCTCCTGGGCAGGGTCCTGGTCGCAGAACTGGCAGAGGACCTTCTCGCAGGACGACATGCTGTTGCTATCGAACGCCCGCTCCCGGCGGGTCTCACTGGGAGAATTAGGCCCGCTGACTGAGGCTTTCTGAAACCTGTCGATGATGTTCTGCAGCGTGACGTTGCGCTTGAGCCCGTCTAGACCGCGCTGGCTGAGGGTGATGACATAGCGGCAGGTCGGGCACTGGAAGGCGGTGATAGACTCCACTGGCTCGTTGGTGGCGCAGTGGGAGACCAGGATGCGGTGCGCGCAGTTGAAGCAGAGGCTGTGAGCGCAAGGCAGCAGCAGCGGGTCTTCAAACAGCTCCAGACAGATAGGGCAGGTCAGTTCCGACTCCAGTGTTTCCATCTTCAGGCAAAGCTTTCCTGTGGTGTCAGCGAAATCCAGGGAAGCTGATCAGCTATCTGGAAACACATGTAAAATTCGATTAGGCGAGGGAGAACATGAGGGGTCAGCTGTGGGGGGTTGTCAACTTTCGCCATTGCTCCTGGGGCTATCAACTCACCGTGCCAGGCGGGAGAGCAATCTAAAGTTTTGAACCTGCACATGCACACATCAAGGTATTTAAAACTGGACTGCTTTTTTTTTTTCTTGCCTCTGTTCCCTTAAGAATGCCAAACGAAAAGCTCCTTCTCAATTTCTTTCTTTTTCCTAATGCGATCAAGGAAAACAGCAGATGTTTCTGTGCATTATTAAAACCCCAAATGATGACCTTCAAACAGTCTATTACAGTAAAATCAGATTTCTTCTGCAGATGCTGCTTTTAGCTTCACTAATCTACTAGTAAAACTTTTTTAAAAAAACTTCACCTTTGTATAGCATTGTGCAAAGATTAGTCTGGAGTATTATAACCAATAACCTTAAGTCTCTCACTGCTATTAGAATTAACAGTTATTTTCACAGATTGAAATGTTCATTTGCTATTACAGCAATAGTAAATATATGTCTGAAAATATGCAGGGAATAATGTTTCTAGGAAAGCATGTGATATCTTTTTACATACTGTATATATCATACATATATCTTATACTAATATATTCCTCCTATGTATTTTAAGAACATACACAGCTATACTTTTGTGCATATGTACCTGTACATATATGCACAAACTTACATCACATACATATTTGCAGAAAGATAAATATAGCCAAAGGATCACACAGCATTGTAACTGAAATGCCTAAAGGTGGATGGAGCAAATGATAAACAGTAGTTTAGCCCAGATTTCTCATGATCCTCACCTATAATACAAGAAGAGCCTCTAGAAAGTAAGAGTGTGAAATGTGTGATTTGCTCAGGGGTTTGTGTGCATGTGTGCTTGCACTTTTGTGTGAGCACTCTCTATTGCTAAAACTTATGAACTACCGCTTGCTTTACTAGCCTCATTAATCACCTGAAGTGGACTAGGAATCAATGACTTTTAAATGGGGGGCATGGGATTTCCTCGAGAAGGCAGCAGTATACCTCTGTCAGAGATCAACTGAAACTTCATTTTGTTTCCTTTCCTGTGCTCGGCGTTACAGAGAGTGGTTTTGAAAGAGTCGCCCTACGTAGCTCTCCCTGCCTAAGCTCCTGTCAAGGGCCCGTCGCCGCCGCAAGCAGACAGGTCAGTGAAGCAGAAGCAAAGGCCCTGCTTCACAATCACAGAGCTGTACCTCTTCACAGTACAATCTATTTAAGCTTTGTTGCTCATAACTGAGGACGGCTTCAGATGGCACAGCTGCATCGTCTTTACACTGTAAAGTCATTGTTCAGTTGTGTGAACCCTTGCCTCCTCCCCTGACCAGGGAACAGGAGGGCTGGACAAGAATCCCCCACAAACAAACCTTGGCTCATTAAGGGCGAGGAGAGCTCAGGGCTCATTAGCAGCCTTGAGAACCAAGCACACTTGAACCTTCTGTACCTCATGACAATTAGTGTGGGGAGTGCGGTGGCAGTGACAGGAATGCTACCTATAACCCCAGTATGAACCACAGCAAAAAGGAGAGTTCAGCAAACAGAGGCGAGGTTCAGACTGCCCATCGGTATTTAGTCCTGCTGCTCTGTGGGAACAGCAGCAAGGCGTCTGTTCCAGAGGTATGCTTAGAAATTGGGATACTTTGCCTCTTTGCAATAATGCGCCTTTTTATTCTGCCAAGAAATCTGAGCATTCAAAAAATGCACTGACCCCCTCACAAAATTTGCTTTCCTGTATTTCTGTGATGCTGATCTTACTTGAAATAAAGTTCAGGTTGCCAAAGACTAATTCATTTATAACTATCCATCAGCTGCCATAATTGTATGGTGCATCTGGTCAAAATTAAAGGCCTGGCAATTTGATATAAGCAAGAAGACAACTCCCCTCCTCTCTCCTCAGCCATAGCCCCAGAGCACAGAAAAGATGAAAGCCTTTTCTGCAAATGAAGACCAGTTTGTCTTTCCTCCTTTTCACTTTCTGTATCATAGAAGTCCCAGAAGATCGAAATCTCATTCACATTGTTTGAATCCCTTCCACACCACAACTGTGTACCTCATCATTCACTTATCCTGCAAGCTGAATGCTGCACTGGGAACAGGAGAAGAGGACTTGAGGTTGTCAGGAGACAACGTTTTAAAAAGACAGACTAATCATTGCTCACCTATTGGCAGTTCAGTGAAAACCTGCCAACCTCTCGGGTTTGTTTCTTAGGGCCATGTTTGGGATACAGAGCTGTCTTCCATGCTACCCTTTCTGTATGAAATCCTTTCCGCTCTTTGGTGTGTCAAAAGGTTTCATTCATTCAGCTTCCTTCTTAAAGCACCATTATTTTTAACCAAAGTGGTTTTTTTATAGTACTCATTAAAAAGTAAGGTACAGCTAAAAAGATAAAACCAGCAGAAAACCATTTGTATCACTGCCTCATGGAAAGGTGTTCGAAGCACTGTTGTGGCTCTACACAAATACCACTGTTTCAGCTGATGACTAATTCTGGTCTAACTGACCTGAATGAGCAGCAGCTTAGCCCTGACTAATGCTATTCAGTATGAGCAAGGCTGCCAAAATCTTAGACTGTAAGTGTCTTGGAATAAAAGCCTATCTTCCAAGGTAATCAAAATTGAGCACACTGACAGAAACCAAAAAATGACATTTCCCTGTTTTCTTTTGCAGTTGCCAGTAAGTCAAAACACACTGCATCTGGGACTGAATAATGGATCCTTTAAGAGGCATGGAAGAGGGGCTACATTACTCTTTAATCAACCACAGTTCTGCTTTTACTTTTAGGTTGGTGCCTGAACTACAAAGCATGCTGCTGATCCAGCTACAAATTCTTGCAAACTCACTGGCCCTTGCGTTAAAGTTTCATATTCAATAATTTTATTTTTTTTTTCTTGAGAGTGGTAGAGAATCCATAGCTACAGCAAACTAGAAGATTAGGTAGAAACTCAATACACATGGTTTATATATGCACATGGTTATATTCCACATTCAACATGACCTATAAACTGAAAGCCACATAGGCAGTCTCCAGACACAGAAAGGAAAGAAGGAATTTTGAGTGCATAATTTTGTACTTGCAAAAATATGGTATTACTGACAGAAAATTATACTATTACCAAAATGTCATTGAAATGGGTATTATTTTTCTACCCACAAGAGGTAGTTTTAAGAACAGATATCAAAGTAAAAGTGACTGTCAAAAGACAAGTGTTTAAAAATCAAAAACATACTTAAGTAACTTTGGAACTGACATCTCCCCAGCATACAAAGATTAGTTATGCAATATGTGGTAAGCAATACAGTAAATGAAATCCCAATCTCTATGTAGTTCATGGTAAGACTTCTACTAATCCTAGCAGAATTAGCATCTTTGTACCTCTTCTTTTCAGCATGACGTATTTTGCAGATGGTATTACTGCCTTCAGTTGCACGGAGGTGCACCCAACACTTTTCAGAAGTAAAGAGACAGAAGATAAATTAAAACTAAAGCTGAACTAGATAAATTTTTACATGTTAAGTACCAGTAGAGATTAATAGAAATAAAAATCTGTCAAGCTATTTAATTACTAGATGCAAAAATGCTGTATTACACCTTCCATTTGTTTTATACTTGAGAAATTATGGATCAGAGATACTACCAAAGTTTAGAAGACTGTTACCGCTGATCTCAATGAGACCCTAGTAATCAAAAGCCCAAAAACACATCACCGGAAGAGGACATAAAATATGCATTTCGTCGCTCTTTGAAACACTAGTATTTATAGGAAGCTCTGGTGATTTGGTGGCCTTGAAATCAGCCCAGGGTGGACTGAAGGCTGACTCCTGATTTTTCATTGCCAGTGTTATGGATGATCTCTATGCTTTAAGGGCAGAAAGCGGTATATAGAAGCAGCAGGATAAAAATACCAGAAAGTGCTGGTGGGGGAAGACCTCTATGAACCAGAACTGTAAGCACTTCCTCACAGGGAGAAATCCACTTCTATATACTGAAGAAATCACATGCTGTTATAAAGATATTGCAAACCAGATACTGCTACGTGAAGCTGTTCTTTTCTCACAGCCAATACCCCTATATGGCTCCTGCACTCAAATGACAATCAGAAAATTGTAATTAATGTCCAAAACAATTATCCTCCTAATCTCCTTGGGAAAAAAACTTATATCCAGCAGTAACACCATAGCACCTAGTGATGCTACAGTAATAAAATGCTTCAGGAAGGCTAAGACCATTCTTTAAAGTTGGATCTGAATAGAACATTTCAGCCTAACTGGTTATACTCACTAGGGAGGTTGACTGGTGACCTGACATGGTCTTTACATTTAACTGTTTTTCATTGGTGTTAGCTAGATGATCAGTAAGATCAATATTCATTTACATTTGTTGTATTAACAAAGCAATTATAGTGTTGTATCTTCAAAGAACATTCTTTACTTTAACTCAGTATATTCAAGCTAGAACATGGTATTTCTGAAGTGTTAATATAACGTCTGAGGTTAAATGGCTAAAATATAGAACTACACTAAAAATGAATGTGTCAAAAATTCCAGTATACCGAGGTCACTTTTTGTCAGCTAAACACCACAGAATTCTCCCCATGCAGAATAAATCATTAGCTATTAGAATAAAGTTAGCAGGCAATGTTTTAGTGTGCAATGTTTTAGTGTGCCACACATTGCCTCCTGCTGCTTTTCTATTCCAGCTGCTTCTACAGCCTTCAGAGGGGTCTAACAGGAGTGAAAAAGTGGTGGAAGAGAATGTCCTACAAAGGTCTGCTTTCCACTCTAGTAAAGGTGGAGCTCATAGAATGAATTCAAGCTGCATCAGAGAACTTTTAAATTATAGTGAACTCAGTGACACTGAAGGAGGAAATAGAGCTGTAGGCCATTCTGAGAATTTTAAGCATCTTAACAACAAACAGCACTGGGCAAAAAAGCCAGACTTGTGGCA